GAGAGTAAGAGAGGCGTGGGGGAGGAAGGAAGGAAGGATGTGTGTATATATACACATATACTGCTTTCACTATATCCCACAGGTTTTGGTATGTTGTGTTTCCATTTTCATTTGTCTCAAGAAATTTAAAAAATATATACATATGTATTTTTTTTAATTGTAGAGGCGACATGTTACCATATTGCCCAGGCTGCTTTCAAACTCCTGGGCCCAAGCAGTCCTCCCGCCTTAGCCTCTTAAAATACTGGGATTCTAGTCATGAGCCACCACACCCAGCCTGTTTCAATTTCCTTCTGAATTTCTTCATTGGCAGACTTGTCATTCCAGAGCATATTGTTTAATTTCCATATGTCTATCTAGTTTCCAAAGTTCCTCTTGTTATTGATTTCTAGTTTTATTCTATTGTGGTCAGATACTTGAATCAGATTTCAATTTTTTTGTATTTTTTTAAGACTTATTTTATGACCTACTATGTGGTCTATCCTTGAACATAATCAATATGCTGAGGAGAAGACTGTGTATTCTGCAGCTGTTGGATGACATGCTCTATAAGTATCTCATAGGTCCATTTCGTGTATAGTGCGGATTAAGTCTGATGTTTGTTAATTCTCTGTCTGGGAAATCTGTACAATGCTGTAATTGGAGCGTTGAGTCTCCAGCTATTGTTGTATTGGGTTCTATCTCTCTCTTTAGCTCTAACAATATTTGCTTTATATATATAGGTTCTCCAGTGTTGGGGGCGTGTGTGTGTGTGTGTGTGTATACACACATATATGTGTATGTGTGTGTATCATGTATGTGTATATACAGGTGTGTGTGTGTGTGTGTGTGTGTATAATGATTACATCCTCTTGCTGAATTGACTTTTTTTTTAAGAGACAGGGTCTTACTCTGTCTCCCAGGCTAGAGTGCAGTGGCACAAGCGTAGCTCACAACAACCTCAACCTCCTGGGCTTAAGGGATTCTCTCCCTCCTCAGCCTCCTAAATTGCTAGGACTACAGGCATGTGGTAATACACCCAACTAATTTTTTTTTAAAGCTTTTTATTTTTATTTTTTATTTATTTTTTAGAAAGGAAAGAAGAAAAGAAAGAGAAAAAATGGAGTGAAGGAGAGGAAGAAAGGAGGAAAAAGAGGGAGAGAGAATGGGAATATTACTTTATTCTAAAAATGGGTATTAATAATGGCCGATCAATATTTTGTTTATTTAAAGTGAAGAATATATATTTTGTGTATTTAAAATATTTATTAAGTTTACTTGTTCCAGATCTGAGTTCAAGTCCTGGTTGTCCTCGACAATTTTCTGTCTCGCTGAGTCTAAATCTCTTTATGGGTCTTATGTATCTGGGTGTTAGGATCATTAGCTCTTATTGTTGCATTGATCCTTTTACCACTATATCTTTGTTGCTTTGAAATGTATTTTATCAGATGCGAGAATTGCAACTCCTGCTTTTTATTTATTATTTATTTTTGCTCTCCATTTGGTTGGTAAGTCTTTCTCCATCCCTTTGTTTTGAGTCTTTGTATGTCTTTGGATGTGAAATGGGTCTGGATGCAGCATACCGTTAAGTTTTGGCTGTATCTTTTGATTGGGGGATTTAGTCGACTTAAATTTAGGGTTACTGCCATTTGATGTTAACTAGGTATTTTATCCATTTGTTTATGTAAATTCTTCTTTATGTTGATGCTCTTTACTTTTTGGTATATTTTTAGAAAGGCTAATACTGGTTACCCACAAAGGGAAGCCTATTAGACTTACAGCAGATCTCTCAGCAGAAACCCTACAAGCCAGAAGAGAGTGGGGGCCAATATTCAACATCCTTAAAGAAAAGAACTTTCAGGCCGGGCGCAGTGGGTGGCTCAAGCCTGTAATCCCAGCACTTTGGGAGGCCGAGGCAGGTGGATCACGAGGTCATGAGATCGAGACCATCATGGTCAAAATGGTGAAACCCCGTCTCTACTAAAGATACAAAAAATTAGCTGGGCATGGTGGTGCGTGCCTGTAATCCCAGCTACTCAGGAGGCTGAGGCAGGAGAATTGCCTGAACCCAGGAGGCGGAGGTTGTGGTGAGCCGAGATCATGCCATTGCACTCCAGCCTGGGCAATAAGAGTGAAACTCCGTCTCAAGAAAAAAAAAAAGAAAAGAACTTTCAGCCCAGAATTTCATATTCTACCAAACTAAGCTTCACAATTGAAGGAAAAATAAAATCTTTTATGAACAAGCAAGTACTCAGAGATTTTATTACCACCAGGCCTGCTTTGCAAAAGCTTCTGAAAAAAGCATTATACATAGAAAGGAACAACCAGTATTAGCCTTTCTAAAGCTTTTTATAAAGATAGGATCTGCCTGTGTTGCTCAGGCTGTTCTTGAGCCCCTGGCCTCAAGCAATCCTCCCACCCCAGCCTTCCAAAACACAGGGATTATAGGTGTAAGCCAATGTGCCCGGTTCACAAATTCTTTTTAAAAAAAAAGAATTTTGCCAACATGGCAAAACCCCTTCTGTACTAAAAATACAAAAATCTGCCGAGTGGTGGAGCGTGCCTGTAATCCCAGCTACTTGGCTGAGGCTAAGGCAGAGGCAGGAGAATCACTTGAACCCAGGAGGCAGAGGTTGCAGTGAAACAAGATCATGCCACTTCACTCCAACCTGGGAAACAGAGCGAGACTTTGTCTCAAAAAATAAATAAAAATAAAGTCAAATTGCAAATTATTGCCCAACTCAGTTTTTATTGCATTAAGCATATCATCTCTTTCTGTGGTCTCAATGGCCAGCCTTGGGAGTGGACAAAGTAGGCAGCTACCTACATAAAGATTTAAAGGATACTAAAAGACCTCAACCTAAAAATGCCCCCCCCACATGAATTCTAAATCTAGATATTTTCCAAGGACCTCTTTGAAAAGAGACATCCTTTCCAACTCACTTAAGATAGGAGGTTACCTAAGAGGCATTATTTATCAGCAAGCTAATTAGTCTGTCACAGAAGCCACCTAACTCTAATATAACCTAAAAAAGGGCCTGAAAGAATGACACCAGGATGATGAGTTAATGCGTTGAAGGAGTGGATAAAAGAGAAGTTAGGAATTAAAGGAAGGAAAGATCCAGAACTTGAAGCACCATTAGGGAAGGCAAACCCTTGGGCAGCCTAAGGACTTAAGTAAGCATCTCCAGGAAAGAAGGTTCTAAAAAGGGCAGCAGATAGGAGTTAATGTTTAAGGGTACAGAATTTTAGCTGGGGAAGATGAAGAAGCTCTGGAGATGGATGTTGTGATGGTAGCACAGTAATATGAATGGACTTAATGCCACAAAGCTTTTATACTTAAAACAGTTTAAATAATAAATTTTGTTATTAAATAATAACATAATTAGTTTATGTTAAGTAAACTAATTGTAAGGGAAACAAAGGCGGCTGAGGCTGTTTTCACAAGTCCTTGACTTTAGTATGATACCCTCCAAGTTGACCTTCATGAGCCTGACCTCCTTGTATTCATGTTTCAATACACTGGATTGGAATAACTTGGGCAACCAGTGGGATATGTCAGAAATGACCTTCCAAGGCTAGGTCATAAAAGACATTCCAGTTTCCAACTGCTTGGATCCCTTGCTCTAGGGGAAGTGGGCTGCCGTGTTGTGAGGACACTCATAGCCTATGAGGCGGTCTAGTGATGAGGAACTCAGGCCTCCAGCCAACAGCAGTGTTAACTTGCCAACCATGTGAGAAGCTACCTTGGAAGGAGATCCTCCAGCAGCCCCTCTCATGAGAGAGCCCAAGCCAGAGCTAACTTGCTAAATCTCTCCCAAATTCCTGAACCACAGAAATGGAGATAATTGTTATTATTTTAAGCCATTATGTTTTCAGGCTGTATGTTATATAGAAATTGAAAACTAATACAGATAGTATGTGGACTTCTTTCATCATCTACCTGAGGTTGGTGGTGTCTTCAGTCATTTTTATAGATCTATGTGTTTCTGGATAATATACAGCTACTTAAAGATATTTTGTGGCTCCATTTAGATACAGCTGCATTCACCTTTATATATTTTGAATATCCAATAACTAACTTGAAAATATTTCCTGATATGCAGGGAGTGGGGGCATTGCTGAATTTCAGAAAGTTAAGAATGGTAAGAACTATGACTAATATAATACATCTTGACCAGATGCGGTGGCTCATGCCTGTAATCCCAGCACTTTGGGAGGCCAAGTTGGGCAGATCACGAGGTCAGGAGTTTGAGACCAGCCTGGCCAGTATAGTGAACCTTGTCTCTACTAAAAATACAAAAAATTAGCCAGGCGTGGGGGCATGCACCTGTAGTCCCAGCTACTCAGGAGTCTGAAGCAGAAGAATCACTTGAACCCAGGAGGTGGAGGTTGCAGTGAGCCAAGATTGTGCCACTGAACTCCAGCCTAGGTGACAGAGCAAGACTCTGTCTCAAAACAAAACATACTTTTGTTTTGAGACAAATTGTTGGATACTGTAAATGCTTTTCATTTAATTCTGTAGGTAAAGTGCTTAAAACCTGAAGGAAGGCCAGTGTTCCAGTGTTTTAAGTCTTCTTACTTTAACATGAATGAACTTCTTAAACATATTTATTTATTTATTTATTTTTAAAAAGAAGAAGCTGGCTGGGCATGGTGGCTCACACCTGTAATCCAAGCACTTTGGAGGCCAAGGCATGTGGATCACCTGAGGTCGGGAGTTCAAGACCAGCCTGACCAACACGGTGAAACCCCATCTTTTAAAAAAAAAAAAAGAGGAAGCAAAATAAAATAAGGGGACAAAATACACAAAGCCAACTTAAGAACTTTTTTTATTTTTTTTATTTTTTATTGGATTTTAGGTTTTGGGGTACATGAGCAGAGCATGCAAGACAGTTGCGTAGGAACACACATGGCAGTGTGCTTTTCTTTCCTTCTCCCCTTCACCCACATTTGGCATTTCTCCCCAGGCTATCCCTCCCTACCTCCCCCTCCCACTGGCCCTCCCCTTTTCCCCCCAATAGACCCCAGTGTTTAGTAACTTAAGAACTTTTTTGAGACAGAGTCTCAGTCTGTCACTAGGTGCCAGGCTGGAGTGCAGTGGCATGATCTAGCTCACTGCAACCTCCGCCTCCCAGGTTCAAACAATTCTTCTGCCTCAGCCTCCCAAGTAGCTGGAACTACAGTTGCCAGCCACCATGCCCAGCTAGTATTTTAGTAGAGACAGGGTTTCACCATGTTGGCCAGGATGGTCTTGATCTCCTGAACTCGTGATCTACCCGCCTCAGCCTCCCAAAGTGCTGGGATTATAGCTGTGAGCCACCGCACTAGGCCAAGAACTTTTTAAGGGCCAAATCCTTTTTTCTTGGCTCCGTATTTGTGTACCTACCTAAAATTCTAATCTCTGTATCTGTGAGTCTCCAGTTTTTCAACCCAAGCTTGATAAGTTATGGGACCTCCTCCAAATGTCTCAACAGGCTGGTCAGGCATCACAGCCTGCACACCACAGCCCCAGGGCAGCATCAGTGCAGTGAACTGTTCTAGCATGTTCAGCCTGTCAACTAGAAGAACCAAAGAGCACACAGTTCAGGGACTGGGTGATCTCAAAACTGAGGAAGAATCAAGGGATGTTGAGGAAGAATCAACAGATGTTGAGGAAGGAATGATCTTTAAGTTTGGGGGCTCTGCAGCCTACTCAGTCTGCAATGAAAATCTACTTGATCTTTGGTGGTTTTTATGGAAAGTATTCAAGAATATACAAGCATGCAGAATAGTATCATGAAACCGTATATACTAATAAGCCAACTTTCAAAACATTAAATCATGGGTGATCTTGCTTAATCCTGACTCAATTCCTTCTGTGTTATTCTAAAGCAAATCATGGACAGTATGAATCAGTTCTTTATTTATTTTTTTACCATAATCACATATCACTATCACACTTAAAAAATCATATCACCAATTCCTTAAGCAAATTTGTCTTGCACGTCAGCTACTCTGATAGTTGCCTCCTCAAAGGAGGAAAGCAGGTGGGATCCCGTCACAAGTGCAGTGAGCATGTGTAAACTGATGACTTAAAAGACATGGGCCTGTGTTCCTTGAGGGCAGTTTAAAAAAGGCCTAAATGATTTTTCTAAGGAAGGTGCGTATAGTAAGACACTCGTGGGGATAAAAGACCTCAGGGCCCAGGCTATGTATTCCGACTACGTAGTACACATATTCAAGTGTCTGATTTTGGCTGAGTTGTCATTCTTACTCAGTTCATGCAGAGCTTCATTTTCATCTTTTCCCAGGTTATTTTCTGATAAGAATGCTCAGTTTGACCAAATTGTGAAGATTCTGAGCTGGAAAAAAAAATCCAAAGTAAAAAGATTTTCAGGTAAATATAAATGTATTTTGAAGTATCCTTAGAGAAATTCTGAGTCCTTATCTTTTTTGCTAATGGTAATGCGAACCATAACTTGCCTTGGTTATTTTAATTATTTCCAAAGGTACTGGCATAGGTGTAACCCCCAACTCCCATGGTTATGACCAAATGTGCAAATAGTCATTGGTCCTAGGTTCTGATTACTAAATTATCATAGAGTCTAAAGCAGCATGGAATGGGGTTGTTATGTCATCATGGAAAAGTCATTTGGTGTCTCTAAGCCTCAGTGTCTTCCTCTATAGAATGAGGTAGTTGGACCAGATAAAATGTAAAGTTGCTTCAATTATAAAATGCCCTTAATCATGTGGGAGAAACAGGAACAACAACAAAAAATAAATGAAATGGGCTGGTTTTGTGTACCTCAACTTGGAAGATTTTATCGACATAATAGTTGCGATGTTAATAATAAAAGCATATTGTATTAGTATACAAATGGCTTCCTTATCTGTACAGACTCCCAGCACTTTTATAGTTTGACTTTTAAAGGGTTATACCACCCTTTTCCAAATCTAAATTTTAAAATATATCTGAATTACACATGTATAATTTATCCAGAAATATTCAGTAAGCTTCCCCATAATTATATGCATCCCTTTGGGAACTCTGAAGACTCAACTGTCATGTTAATGCACATTAACTTTCTCTTAACAGGGCAATGGGTTGGAATTAGAGGCCTAAGAACATTTAAGAAAATCTTTCTCATTTCTCAATCATTTATTTATTCATTCATTTAAATATTTGTTAGGCAGTAAATTCTATGACAGGTTGTGTGGCAAGTTTCAAGCACCTATTATTTTCTTCCTCTTCACTTTCTCTAAAAGTTACAACATCTTCAATTATTCTGAAATTCTCTCCTATTATCCATCAGTAGTTGATTTTAATTCTAATATGGGGAAAATTTATTTAAAAACAATCAGCCTATTATCTAGAAGTTTTTATAATCTTTTCCAATTTTCCTTAAATTTCCATTTGAGACATTTAGTGAGAATTAGTATAATAGTATCACATGTTCTGTTATACTGTCCTCATTCAGTTAGTGAAAACAAGTTACCTAGGATTTTCACTGCATTTGCAGACAAGCAGCAGGAGACTAATTGGATTTCTTCAAGGTTGCCAGGGTTCACTTGACAGAGACTTGACTATGTAATCCATTCCCTCTCCAATGTCAGACAAGTGGATCAAACGGAATAAATTCATCTTCTTCAGGTTTGTCAGACCTTCAGCTCAAAAAAGATAGAAAGGAATGCGTTAGAATACCAAGTTAATTTGATTTAAGCATAGATCAATGAACTGAAAAGAAAGCAAAGAATAATTGTGCAGAGTCATTCCCATGTTCCTCCTGTAAGTTAAGGTCACTTCCTGTAGTTAACTTACAGAGAGAGCTGTTTTTCTTTAAACTCTCACTTCCAGTCTCTTGGACCACCCAAAAATCACTTATATGGAGGTTATTCTGTTAATAGTGTGAGAAAAACTGTAGTAAATTTGTAGTCTTTTTAATGGGCATCAGTGTATACTCTTATCCTAATTCTTTTCATGGATGAAGGCTTCTAGGAGCACTCTCCTTTCAATCTGCTCAAAAATCTTAAACAGTGGGAGGCTGAGTTCAGAGGGGTAGCATGGAGATTTGGTTCCTTGGAGTGCTTCTAGTGCCACTGTCTACAGCCTCAAAAGTCTTGCCTGGGACTCATGACATGGGGCCTGCCTGATGCTTTAGAATGAAGACCACATCCACTGCAGCATATTTAACCAGAAGAGAGATTTACCTTATATCAACAGTACAATTGGAAACATTCTAAGATATCTCTCATTCTTAGGTCTAAAGCTAATGTGGAGTTTAGGATTGGTTAGGCCTCACTTTGTGTCATTAAAATATTGCCTTATTAAGGCCGGGCACGGTGGCTCACGCCTGTAATCCCAGCACTTTGGGAGGCCGAGGTCGGTGGATCACGAGGTCAAGAGATCGAGACCATCCTGGTCAACATGGTGAAACCCCATCTCTACTAAAAATACAAAAAATTAGCTGGGCACGGTGGCACATGCCTGTAATCCCATCTACTCAGGAGGCTGAGGCAGGAGAATTGCCTGAAACCAGGAGGCAGAGGTTGCGGTGAGCCGAGATCGCGCCATAGCACTCCAGCCTGGGTAACAAGAGCGAAACTCCGTCTCAAAAAAAAAGCCTAAGGGCTGGGCGCAATGGCTCACGCCTGTAATCCTAGCAGTTTGGGAGGCCGAGGTGGGTGGATCACCTGAGGTCAGGAGTTCAAGACCAGCCTGGCCATCATGGTGAAACCCCATCTTTAAAAAAAAAAAAAAAATTAAAAAAGAAAAATATATTGAAGAGAATAAAATTAAAACACAACCTACCAAGGTTTGTGGAGGCAGCTAATGCAGAGGGAAATGTGTAACTGTAGACACCTATGTTAATAAAGAAGGATCTCAAATCAAAAAAAAAAAAAAAAAAAAAAAAGCCTTATCTCACAGAGTTGAGAAAATTTAAAAATTAAAGCCGGGAGCGGTGGCTCATGCCTGTAATCCCAGCACTTTGGGAGGCCGAGGCGGGTGGATCACGAGGTCGAGACTATCCAAGTCAACATGGTGAAACCCCATCTCTACTAAAAATACAAAAATTAGCTGGGTATGGTGGCGCATGCCTGTAGTCCCAGCTACTTGGGAGGCTGAGGCAGGAGAATTGCTTGAACCCAGGAAGCAGAGGTTGCGGTGAGCCGAGATCGTGCCATTGCACTCCAGCCTGGGTAATAAGAGCGAAACTCCATCTCAAAAAAAAAAAAAAAGGAAGGAAGAAAGAACAAGGTGAAGGGAAGAGAGGAGCATTTTAGTGAGGACTCAAGTAGGGGGGAAAAAAAGCCAAAAAAAAAAAAAAAGAAAAAAGAAAAAGAAACCCAAAACACGCAAAAAAATAGGGACATCATAGGAAAGCAGCTTTAACAGGAATTCTCCCTGGGCTGGAGGGCCTGGTTCCCTGTAGTAAGCCATGTGTTCTAGAAGTTTTCCTTCATGTTTTTTTGATTGGGGAAACACAACATCCAGTATAGAATGAAAGCATGCTTCCCCCAGTGTTTTCTTGATTCACATTGTTTCCTGTGTCCCATTTCATTTTGAAGTTTTACTTAATTATGAAACCATAGTATAAATTTTAAATTATTGTTTCCATGCATTTTTTTTTTTTTGAGACAGAGTTTCGCTCTTGTTACCCAGGCTGGAGTGCAATGGTGCACTCTCAGCTCACCGCAGCCTCCGCCTCCTGGGTTCAGGCAATTCTCCTGCCTCAGCCTCCCGAGTAGCTGGGATTAGAGGCATGCACCACCATGCCCGGCTAATTTTTGTATTTTTAGTAGAGACGGGGTTTCACCATGTTGACCAGGATGATCTCAATCTCTTGACCTCGTGACCCACCCGCCTCGGCCTCCCAAAGTGCTGGGATCACAGGCATGAGCCACCGCGCCCGGCCCATTTCTATGCATTAAATAAAAACATAGACCATGAGCCAGGGAAAGGGAAGTTAAAAAGATGTCATGGCCTCTGTTCCCGAAAGGCTTACAGTCTAGTGTTGTACAATTTGAATGAAATGTTGCTGAAGGATTGTAATGGGAGTGGGGAAAATGTCCAGGGAAACCAGTGTAGTCACAGGTACATAAAAACATCCTTGCCTTGTACAGACACAGTCAGTGTCAGAGTCTGAAGTTAACTATTCTTATTATAAAATTTACATTAATAAAAATTTGAGAACAGAAATCTGACCTAGTTTTATATCATCTTCTTCATCTTAATGTTGTTCATTATGAATTTTGTAAGGTTCTTCAAATCACCCAAGCTGTCAGTAAGACCACCTGTCAAAAGAAAAAAGATTGGACTCTGTTCAGCTGATATTTGCTATTTACTGTTAGTGTCACCTTTGTTACCAAGCAAAAGACTTCAGTGATCACCATGAGCAAAAAATGCTCATGAAATAGACATAAAAAATGTATTTTTGATAAGAGATAGGCATTGTAATTTGCCGTAAGCATGTTTTCCAAATAATAGACTAGATACTAATTTCCCAGATAACAGGGAAATTTCTAAATCCCTGGAAATTAAACAACACACTTTCAAATAATCATGCATCAAAGAAGTCTCAAGGAAAATTTGACAATATTTTGAAAAATATAAAAAATAAATAAAAATAGGCCAGGCGCGGTGGCTCACGCCTGTAATCTCAGCACTTTGGGAGGCCGAGGCGGGCAGATCACCTGAGGTCAGGAGTTCAAGACCAGCCTGGCCAACATGGTGAAACCCCATCTCTACTAAAAAAAAAAAAATACAAAAAATTAGCCGGGCATGGTGGCATGTGCCTATAATCCCAGCTACTCGGGAGGCTGAGGCAGGAGAATTGCTTGAACCCAGGAGGCGGAGGTTGTGGTGAGCCGAGATTGCACCATTGCACTCCAGACTGGGTAACTAGAGGGAAACTCCGTCTCAAAAAAAAAAAGACAAAAAGAAAATAAAAATAAAAAACAAAATATAAAAAAAGAAAAATATAAAAATAAAAACAAAACATCAAAATCTGAAGCTCTCCCCTCACACAGGGGTAGAAAAAAAAATTCGCAGCTAACACAGGGACAGCACAGCTAACACAGTGCTTACAGGGACTTTTACACATTGCATGCTTGTGTTAGAAATGAGGAAAGGTCTCAAATCAATAACGTAGGCATACTACTTAAGAAATTACAGAAAAGAGGCCAGGTGCAGTGGCTCATGCCTGTAATCCCAGCACTTCAGGAGGCTGAGGCGGGCAGATCACCCGAGGTCAGGAGTTCAAGACCAGCCGGGCCAACATGGTGAAACCCCGTCTCTACTAAAAATACAAAAAAAAATTAGCTAGGTGTGGTGATGGGCGACTGTAATCCCAGCTACTCAGGTCGCCAGGGCAGGAGAATCACTTGAAATCCGAAGGTGGAGGTTGCAGTGAGCTGAGATTGTGCCACTATACTCCATCCTGGGCGACAGAGCAAGACCCCATCTCAAAAAAAAGAAATTATAGAAAAGAGAGCAAAATAAAGGAAAGAAGAAAGGAAATAATAAAGATAAGGGCAGAAATAAAAATTATTATGTCTTTATTATAAAAATTACAAACAGAGACTAGGTCTCACTATGTTGCCCATGCTGGCCCGGAACTCCTGAGCACAAGTGATCCTCTGGCCTCAGACCCCCAGAGTGCTAGGATTACAGGCATGAGCCACCATGCCCAGCCCAGAATTCAAATTATAAACAGGTAAACAATAGTAAAAAAATCAATGAAGCTAAAATTTGGATCTTTGAAAAGATCAATAAAATTGATAAATTTCTAGCAAGACTGACAAAGAGAAGACACAAATTACCGGTATCAGAAACAAAAGAGGGGGCCAGATACAGTGGCTCAGGCCTGTAATCCCAGCACTTTGGGAGGCCAAGGTGGGCGGATCACGAGGTTGGGAGTTTGAGACCAGCCTGAACAACATGGTGAAACCCTGTCTCTACTAAGAATACAAAAAATTAGCCAGGCATGGTGGCACGCACCTGTAATCCCAGCTACTCAGAAGGCTGAAGCAGGAGAATCGCTTGAACCAGGGAGGCTGAGGTTGCAGTGAGCCAAAATTATGCCACTGCACTCCAGCCTGGGCAACAGAGTGAGACTCCATCTCAAAAAAAAACAAAAAAAAGAAATAAACATAAAAAGGGATATCACTACAGACACTGCAGATGTTAAAAGAACAGTGTGTATATATATATATGAACAGTTAGAGAATAATATAAACAAATCTACGCACATAAATTTGACAGCATATATGAAATTGCCCAATTTCATGTAGGCAGGAGGATCTGTTGAGCCCAGGAAGTTGAGGCTACAGTGAGCTATGATCATGCTACTGCACTCCAGCCTGGGTGACAGAACAAGACCCTGGCTCAAAAATAATTTTTAAAAAATCCAACATCCATTCATGAAAAATGACATGATCATATAAATGGATGCAGAAAACCCCTTTAACACAATCCAGCATCCTTTCATGACAAAAAAATTCTCAGCAACTTGAGACAAGACAGCTACAAGAAAGCTACAGTTAACATTATACTTAATGGTGAAAGTCTGAATGCTTTCTCCTCTAAGGTCAGGAACAAGGCAGGATGTTCATTCATATCACTCCTCTTCAACATTATACTACAAGTTCTAGACAGTGCAATAAGGCAAAAAAATAAATAAATAAAAGGAATACAGATTGGAAAGGAAGAAATTAAAATCATTCTTTTTGAAGATAAGGTGATCGTCTATGATTAAAAAAAAATGATAAGGAATCTACAACACCCCCAGCTGCAAACACCACACAAAAAAAATTCTCCTAAAACTGGCTTGGTGTATGGTGTATACCTATAACTTCAGCACTCTCGGAGGCTGAAGGGGAAAGCCCTTGAGCCCAGGAGTTCCAGACTAGCCTGGGCAACATAGACAAGAAGGAGAAAGGGGAGGAGGAGAAGAGAGAAGAGAAGAAGGGCAAGGGGAAGGGGAAGAGAAAAAATTAGTGAGGTGTGGTGGCACATGGTAATGGTTCCAGCTACTCAGGAGGCTGGGCAGAAGTTTTAGAAGATATAAACAAATTCTAGAATTTGCATGGAAAGGCAAGGGAGTTAGAATATAAAAAACAATTTTGAAAAAGAAGAAAGTTGGACCAGGTACAGTGGCTCACACTTGTAATCCCAGCACTTTGGGAGGCCGAGGTGGGCAGATCACCTGAGGCCATTAGAGACCAGCCTGGTCCAACATGGTGAAACCCCCTCTCTACTAAAAATGAAAAAACTTAGCTGGGTGTGGTGGCATGGGCCTATAGTCCCAGCTACTCGGGAAGCTGAGGCAGAAAAATTGCTTGAACCCAGGAGGTAGAAGTTGCAGTGAGCTGAGATCGTGCCATTGCACTCTAGCCTAGGTGACAGAGCAAGACTCTGTCTCAGAAAGAAAAAAAAAAAGGAATCCCATTTACAATAGCTACAAATAATATTAAACACATAGGAATTTTTTTTTTTTTTTTTGAGATGGAGTTTCGCTGTTGTTACCCAGACTGGAGTGCAATGGCAGGATCTTGGCTCACCGCAACCTCCGCCTCCTGGGTTCAAGCAATTCTCCTGCCTCAGCCTCCCAAGTAGCTGGGACTACAGGTGCACACCACCATGCCCAGCTAATTTTTTTTTGAGACGGAGTTTCGCTCTTGTTACCCAGGCTGGAGTGCAATGGCGCGATCTTGGCTCACCGCAACCTCCGCCTCCTGGGATCAGGCAATTCTCCTGCCTCAGCCTCCCAAGTAGCTGGGATTACAGGCACGCGCCACCATGTCCAGCTAAGTTTTTGTATTTTTAGTAGAGACGGGGTTTCACCATGTTGACCAGGATGGTCTCGATCTGTTGACCTCATGATCCACCCGCCTCAGCTTCCCAAAGTGCTGGGATTATAGGCATGAGCCACAGCACCCGCCTAACACATAGGAATTAACCAAAGAAGTGAAAGATCTCTGCAATGAAAACTGTATGAAAAAAACTGCAATGAAAACACTGATGAAAGAAATAGAAGCAAAATGGATTCCACGAAAAAAGGGAAAAATATTCCACGTTCATGGATTGCAAGAATCAATGTTGCTAAAATGTTCAGGCTGGGCACAGTGGTGTACTCCTGTAATCCCAACACTTTGGGAGGCTGACGCAGGTGGGTCACTTGAGGTCAGGAGTTTGGGACCAGCCTGGGCAACATAGGGAGACCCTGTTTCTATGAAAAATACAAAAAATTAGCCATGCAAGGTGGCGTGCACCTGTAGTCCCAGCTATTTGGGTAGCTGAGGCAGGAGGATCACTTGAGTCCAAGAGGTCAAAGCTGCAGTGAGCTGTGATCAAGTCACTGCAATCCAACCTGGGCAACAAAGCCAGACTCAAAAAAAAAAATAAAGAGTTCATACTACTCAAAGCAATCTACAGATTCAATGTAATCCCTATCAAAATACCAATGTTGGCTGAGCACAGTGGCTCACACCCATAATTCCAGCACTTTGGGAGGCTGAGGCAGGTGGATCACCTGAGGTCAAGAGTTTGAGAACAGCCTCACCAACATAGAAAAACCTTGTCTCTACTAAAAATACAAAAATTAGCTGGTCATGGTGCCATATGCCTGTAATCCCAGCTAGTCAGGAAGCTGAGACAGGAAAATCACTTGAATCCAGGAGGCGGATGTTGCAAAAAGCCAAGATCATGCTGTTGCACTTTAGCCTGGGTAACAGAGTGAGACTCCATCTCAAAAAAACAAAACAAAAACCAATGGCATTCTTCACAAAAATAGAAAAAAATAATTCTAAAAATTATATGAAACCACAAAAGATCCAGAATAGCCAAAGTTATCCTGAGGGAAAAAACAAAAAACTAGGCTAGGCTCCATGGCTCACACCTGTAATCTCAGCACTTTGGGAGGCTGAGGTGGGCAGATCACAAGATCAGGAGTTCAAGACCAACCTGGCCAACATGGTGAAACCCCATGCCTACTAAAAATACAAAAATTAGCCAGCCATGGTGGTGTGTGACTATAATCCCAGCTACTCAGGAGTCTGAAGCAGGAGAATTGCTTGAACCCAGGACACAGAGGTTGCAGTGAGCCAAGATTTACGCCACTGCACTCCAGCCTGGGTAACAGAGTGAGACTCCATCTCAAAAAAAAAGAACAAAATTGGAGGAATCACATTACTTGATTTCAAATTAGACTACAGAACTATAATAACCAAAACAGCATGGTACTTGCATAAAAACAGACACAAAGATCAATGGAACAGAATAGATAATCCAGAAA